GCATTTTCTAGTGAAACAGGCACAGAAGGTTATTCTGAGAAAAGATGAACAAAATTAGATCTAGAGACAGAGTAAGAACTAACTAGGTGAGGTGTAAAAAAATATCCTTCTAGGAGATGCAATATGCCAATTCACAAATTCAGAGTGGCTGAGGTACAAAGAGCAGGATGAGTCAGTGGAGTGGGCCCAAGAGGATCTTGGAGGGCCCTTTAAATAGGACATGCAATGGTGTGGAGACACTGGACGTGATATTTCTGAATCATATTCATTATGGTTGTTCTGAATTTTACTCTGTGGTGATTGACTTGAAAATAAGGGAAGACTATATAGCTTGAATTCAGGTGATGGTGGCAAAAATAAAGATAAAAATATAAAAAAATAAGGTAAATATGCTTGAAAAGGAATGTCGATATTATAAATTACCTGATAATTGAAATTGTTTGTAATAACAGAAGTTAGATAAACTATATTCATCACCTATGTAAGCATGACTTAAATTTTTGTTTTCTACATGTTACTTAGGAAACACAAGGCTGCAAAGCAATAAATATCATTTTGCTCATAACAACATTGCCATCTGGCAAAATAGCTTGCTTATCAGTTTAGTTATCGAAATTTGTTTCATATGTCCCCCACTTTTAAACCATTACATCATGATTTTTTTTCTTACTTTCAATCAGTCCACTTTCTTGAAAGACTTTGTTAAGCTGCTGAGGCCAGAGTCCAAATCTGACTTCAGGCTCCTTCTAGAAAACTAAGATTGTCCCGATGGGTCTTTTGCACTGTTGGGGCAAGCAGTGCAATATAAGTGTGATAAGATTGTGCAATATCAGCAGGTCAACTGAAGACATTTCGAATAGTTCAATAATGGGAATGCCTGATTTTATTTCACAAACACTGATATAACCATATAGTGAAGTAATAGAAGTGTTTGAGTGTTACTACATTCAATTCTATGATGATCAATCTTGACTGTCAACTTGACTAGATGGAGAAATGCCTAGGAAACTAATAAAGCACATCTTTGGGTTGTCTATGGTGGCACTTTCAGAGAGGGTTAACTGAGGGGACAGTCCTGCCCTGAATGTGGGCAGAACCAACCTGCTGGCTAGAAGCCCAGATGGAATAAATACTATAGGAGTGCCCTTTCCTGCTCCACCCTGCCACTGTCATGGACTCGATCCTCTGAAAGCAGGAGCCAAATAAATCTTTCCTCCCTCAAGTTGATTTTCTCAGATATTTAGTAACAGAAATGAAAGACTAACATGAATTCCTCTGCAAATACTTTCATGCAGGGATCACATGATCCCTTAAGGGATCACAGCCTGAAAGATTGAGTCCAAAAGGTCTGCATGCGTGTATGCACGTGTGCGTGTGCGTGTGTGTGTGTGTGTGTGTGTGTGTGTGTGTGTGTGTGTGTGTGCAGACTGGAGAACAACTTCAGATGTTGGTCTCAGGTGGCACCATTTTGTTTTTGAGACAAGGTTTCTTTGGCTTGGAACTCACTGAGAAGACCAAGTCAGTTGAACCAAGCACCAGAGATCTACCTACCTTTACCTCTCCAGTGGTGAGGTTACAAGTCCAGCACCCCATGCCGAGCTATTTTTACATGGCACTGAGGTTCTCCTGCTTGTAGAGTAAGCACATTACAAATTAAGTATCTTTCCAGCCCCTAGAGCCTGTATTTTCCATCACTCTGTTATCTTCCATATTCTATTCATATATCTATGCTGTCTTAGTTTGTTTTCTATTACGTGTTGAAACAACATGACCAAACACATCTTGGACAGGAAAGGGCTTATTTGACTTATAGATTATAGTCCATAATTAAGGGGGAAGCCAAGGCAGGAATTCAGGGCAGGAGCCTGTAGGCATGAATGGAAGCAGATATCATGGGGGAATGGTGCTTACTGTATTGTTCCTATGACTTTCTCACTGTGCTGTTTTCTACAGCCCAGGACCATCTACAGAGGTGACACAGCCTCCAGTGGGCTGGGGCCTCTGGCATTAACTGTTAATTAAGAAGATGCCCTGCAGATTTGTCTACAGGCTAACCTGATGGAGGCATTTTCTCAATTAAGGTTCTCCCTTCCCAGATGATCCACCTTGTGTCAAGTTGTAAAAAAACTAACCCAGAACATATGCCAAAGCTTGATAATCACAAACACACTCGACTTTTCAGATGTGTAATACTGAAAATACTTAGCTATTCAGGGTGAGCTTCTCTTTGAGGGAGGAGCAATTTGAAGTGAGCAAATACACTTCTGAAGTATAATAATTTGTCTCCAGGGGAGAATTCAACTATATTTCCTTCCTCATTAATGAGCAACCCTACTCCCTCAGTGTCAAATAATATTACCTAGTCAACAACTGTTCTTCCAGAGATACTGGATGTGTTTTCTGAACAGAATGCATCTGCAGCGATCACTGCTTGCTCTGTTGATTTACAAGAGCACATCTTCCTTCTGCCTCCCAGGCTTCATAGTCTGTATTTTACTTTTTACTGGGTCTAGTATCTCTATCCCTCAAATTCATTTCTGGTTTTACCTCAGGCTAATCTAAGATAGAGTCTGCAAGTTTAGATTAAGTAGTCTAAGGGGGAGAGGTCATAGACTCTTAAGTCCTCACTAGATGTTCCAGTGATATGGGCAAATCTATTTCTTTGGTGTTCTAAGCCTACTTCATTCTTTGGTTCTACTTCCTGATGTTTAATCGACGTTCTTCTATTCAGTTAACAAAGCTAGAAGTCAAGGTGTTCCTCAGGTAAAGGTAATGAACAACTCACATCTATGTGGGTCTCATCAGTGTTGACTATTGTGCTATGGTTACATCTGGGTAACTCGACTTTCAGTTTCCTACCACTGTTGTGATCATTCTAATGACCAGGGATGCCAAATGACCAAATCCAGACAACTGACATGTGCCTCATCCTTGTGGGAATATGCAAGTCTACATAAGCAGTTACTACTGATTGTTTTTATGTAACTCAGTTCAGTTTTGATTCTAACCAAAGTTAGCACAGACTCCCCAGGTCCAGGGTCATTTCCATATGATTGCCAGCACTTCAGACATCAATCAGTCACAAGTCCTCAGCTGATGCCTGTACTTATGGCCAACAAGGTTTCCCACAACTCCTTCTACTTTGTTAAGCTGGCTTCCAGGAGTTGGGGCTTCTCACACTTCACCTTAAGAGTGAACAGCCAAACGGAGAGGTTGAGAAGGGTCCCAAAGCACCTACTGTTCCGTGGAATTCGTGTTACAACCTTGCAGCCACAGACTGTATACCAAGAAGTCAAATTTGATCACCTGTTCTTAAGAAGCCAATTAAAACACCAAATTAATAATAAACAGCAGAAAAGGAAGATTTGTTCAATGTGACTATACTGAGAAGGGAGACAGCAAGATCCCACTGACCTCCACACACTCCTGCTTCCATTATTCCCATCCCACCAGTACCATACATAGATGGCTAGGATTACGCAGTAAGCTGTCCCAGTCAACTGTGGCCCTGCTCACTACTGACCCCTCACTGTCCATCTCATCTAAGAAGCTGGTCTCACAAATTATTAGAACCATGTGAAATCTCTGAGTAGACAAGTTCTCCCTCTGGCTAGTGCCTTTTCCTTTTCCCAGAATGAGATTTCTGGGAGCATTCCCACTCCTTTGGGGTCTGTTATTTCACTGATGTAATAATGGATTGAGAGACATAAGTACCTCTTCTGAACATCCTTATTTCTTCAAGGCCAGTTACATTAAGTGCACCACTTTCCAGCATGTGGGTGTAGTCATTAAATGGAAAGTCACCCAAAGCTGTCATTTAGAGTTTTAGTTTTTCAATGTGAAGGTTTTATTATTAGCCCTGAATGATTAAACCATGACTGTGTATGGTGGATCCTCTCCCATCTCCAGAGGTTGGGGAGTACCATCACTTATCTGATCATGGATGTCTGGGTTTCGCTGGTGACAGACACTCAACATGAAGTCACCAGGAGGCTCTCAGCTCCCAGGGACCTGCAATTTCATTCATTCTGACCTTTCTAATCCCTCACTCTTCATTTTTTGGCTGTGCCCTCTTTCTCTTTTACTTACAGTTAGAGCTTTCCCACGATTTCAGGTACAGAGCAAAAATCCCTTGTCAATTGCCCTTAGGTAGACTATTTCCACATCGTGATCTCCCTCTTGACTTGGTCACTCTTTAGAATTCTATTTACCATTTCTGGTTTGGATGACTGACAACCTACCTTCTTTTGAGACACTCTACCTCTGTTAATTCTATAAGTTCTTTATTGATCCCAATATGACCTTTGAAGGAATATTTCAGGGACTTTCCTTGTATTTCTCATTTCCAACAATTACCAAGTCTTATAGATTCTGTATCAAAAACCTTTCTTTCATCTTCAAGTTAAGGTCTATATATGCCTTCCTGCTTGCATACTGTCACCACAATCTATCCTGGCTTGTTTTCTGTCCACTTGACATAACCTAGAGTCATTTAGGGAGCAAATTTCAATTGAGAAAATGCTTCCATTTTCTGTGGGTAAGTATGCAGTATATTTATCAATTAGTAATTGAAATAGTGTGGTAGTTTGAATATAATTGGCCCCCATAAGATCATAGGGAGTGGCACTATTAGGAGGCGTGGCTTGTTGGAGTAGGTATGTTTTGTTTTTATCTAAGTTGTTCTATTTCCAATAAAGACTTGGGAGTCAGATATTGGGGGAAAATCCTCATAGATCAAAGAAGCAGAGGAGGAAGCATGACCAGCTGACAATCCCTTTTTTACTGGAGTCCCAGAAAGCGCCTCTCTCTCCACACGTTCCAGATGGAAGAGACATGAAATTTCTAAGTCCCCACTTCTTTCTGTGCAGCTTCTTTATCTGTAGTCCTGGCTTCTCCATGCCTAATTCTGGTCAGCTAGTCACTGGCTTTAGCCCTTCATTCAAGGTTAACTTTATTAGCACAGTCTTGGTGTCACAGTGTAATCAAATATCTCACAACAGGTACGGCCTTGTTGAAGGAAGCATGTCACTGTCGGAGTGGGCTTTGAGGTCTCATACATGCTCAAGCCACTCCCAGTGCCCCAGACCACTTCCTGTTGCCTACAAGATATAGGACTCTCAGCTACAGCTACAGCACCATGTCTGCCTACACTCTACCGTGTCCCACCATGGAGACAATGGACTGAACCTCTAAACTGTAAAAGGACCACCCCAATTAAATGTTTTCCTTTATAAGAGTTGCTATGGTCATGGTGTCTCTTCACAGGAATAGAAACCCTAGCTAAGACAGAAATTGGTACCAGAAGTGGGGTATTACTGTGATAGGCTAGACCATGTTTTTGTTTGGAGGAATTTGGACTTTGGTTCTTTGGGTTATGAAAGCAGTAGAATGCTTTAAGCACTGCTTAATGGGCCATTTTACTAGAAACATGGAAGATAGTGGTGCTGAGTGTGATTTTATGAACCATGGGGGTCTTACTCAAGAGGTTACAAAGAAGAATTAATTATTAATATTAATACAAGGCCTAGAAATTGTTCTTGTGATACTTTGGTATAGAAAGTGGCTGCTTTTTGCCTTTGTCCAAAAAATTTGCCTGAGGCAAAGGGAAGAGTTTTGGATTAATTCCCTTGGCAGAGGAAATCTCAAAACACCCTAGTACAGACTCTGTCATGTGGTGATTAGTGTTAACTCTGATGAAGATTTATAATGAAAAAGAACAAGCTGAGCAAATTAAAATACAAATTGAGAAAAGGGGGACAAGGAAGTGAAACAGAGATAAATCTCATGTTCTAGGAGGTAAACAGATTAAGAAATGGAATAAAGAGATTTGATGGCCTCAGGGCAAGATCCCATCAGCTAAGTCTCCAACTTGTGAAAAAAATGAATTAAAGAAAAGCTTAGAGCAGGGTGTGGTGCTGCACACCTTTAATCCCAGCATTCGGAAGGCAGAGGGTGGCAAATCTTTGAGTTTGAGGCCAGCCTGGTCTACAGAGCAAGTTTCAGGACAGTCAAGCTTAGGCAGTAAAAGACAGACAGCTGGTGAAGATATAATTGAAAGAGGGGACCATATTCCAGCCCCAGTAAGCAGCAGAACTTGGCAGTTTCAGCCACATGGAGTTAAGAACAGAAGAAAGGGGCTAAGGAATTTGCCCCCATGACTAAGGAAAGCTGCTGAGGCCAGGCATGTGTCAGGGGTGTCCCTGAATGGAGGCATAGTAGAGAAGCCATTGTGTGAAGCTGTGAAGTTGAAGCCTGGATTGCCTTGGAGACTCAAAGATGCTGGAGATGCCAGAGCTGTGGGATGCCTGTGGAGGAGAGCTGCTAACATGGAGTGGAACCAGCCCAAGAGAAGGAAGTGTGTTGTAGTCAAAAAAGCTGAAAGGAGTTGGAGATCTGAAGAGCTCTTTGACATCAGACATGGAGATGCAGAGTTTGGAGTTTGCCCAGCTGGTTTTCAGTCTTGCTTTGGTTCAGTATGTCCTCATTATACTCTCTTCCCAGGGTTTTGGAATGGTAATATATATATATCCTGTGCCATTATATGTTGGAAGTATGTGATCTGTTTTTTTTATTTTAATTTTTATAGGTGATTACAGTTAAGAGATTGCATGAATCTCAGAAGAGACTTTGAACTTTGGACTTTAAAACATTGTTGAGACTGTGATAGTCTATGGGTATGTTTGAAGTTGAACTAAATGCACTTTGCATTATGATATTGTTACAGGTTTATAGGGACCAGGAAATGGTATATGGTAGTTTGAATGTAATTGTCCCACATAAGGTCATAGGGAGTGGCACTATTAGGAGGTGTGGCTTTGTTAGAATTGATATGGTCTTGCTGGAGGAAGTATGTCACTGTGGGGGTGGGCATAGAAGTCTCATATATGCCCAAGCCATGTCAATGCCTCAGACTGCTTCCTGTTGCCTATAAGATGTAGGACTCTCAGCTACAGCTACAGCAATGTGTCTGCTTGCACTCTACCGTGTCCCCCCATGATGATAATGGACTGAACCTCTAAACTGTAAGAGAAACACTTCAGTTAAATGTTTTCCTTTATAAGAGTTGCTGTGGTCATGGTGTCTCTTCACAGCAGTAGAAACCCTAACAAAGACAAGTGGGAAGGCCCAGCCCACTTGTGGGTAGTGCCATCTCTGGGCAGGTAGTCTGGGGAGGTATAAGAAAGCAGGTTGAGGAAGCCATGGTGAGAAAGCCAGTAAGCAGCACCTCTCCATATCCTCCAGCTCCTGGTTCCAGGCACCTCCCTGTTTGAGTGCCTGTGCTGACTTCTTTCAGTGATGGACTGTGATGCGAAGTGTAAACTGAAATAAACCCTTTCCTCTCCACGTTGCTGTTGGTCGTCATGTTTGATCACAGCAACAGAAGCCTGAAGAGGAGAGTACTACCTTGATGCTCAGTGGCTACATTTTCTCCGTTGTGTTCCATTTACTGAGTCCCCTCCTTCAAGACACCACCCCAGTTCTCGAGCGGCCTACAAACCGTATTAGTTGCTTTTCACGGTGAAAGTGAGATCACATTAGGAAATGAAGCTAGGTGTAGCTCATTCATAGTGACTAACTGTTTAACATTTGTTAAACATGTCCTAGCAATATTCACATTAATCTCTCTGGTTTTTTTTAATTCGTAAATAATCTTTTTTCCTGATTGCCTTGAGAAGTAAAGCTTAATTTTTCCCAATTATATAGTTGAGCAAACTGGCTTTTTATTGGTATTTTTGCTTTCATGTAATCATACTAGAATGTTGCTAGCCATCATTTGATGAAGTCTCTTAATTCAAAGTATATACATATACATATATAATCTCAGAAACACATGTAAGACAATTGTTATTTAATTAAATTATATACATATTTATACATTTATAAAAAAACTCAGAAACACATGTCAAACAATTGTTAACTAATAAAATGAAATTATTTGTTTTTATGCTACTATATTAGACATAACATAGAAACGCAATCTGAGATGGTTGAGGCCATCCAGATGTGGGATAGAATAATCAGATACTGGCAAAGAGCCCTATAGGGATCACAGACTTGGGGCATACATGCAGCCCCCACGCCCCATTAAAGATGTAACAGTTACACAGCTAACAAGCATCCTACTAAGGTTTGGCTTCAAAGAAACCCAGGATAAATGGCTAACTGAGGTGTCCATTAACATATGAAAGCTGAGCTGGCTGCCAAGCTTCCCCAGCAGGTTTTTGTTCCAGAAGGCTCCTCTCAGCACTTCCCACTGCCCCCTCACCCCCACCCCCCTTAAACCTCTCCAGACCTTCCTTCTCCCCAACTTCTGATTCCTATATAACTCAGTCATTTTGGCCATGTACTCTTTTGGTGTTCTCCTGACTTCCGGGTTATCTTGCCCTCTTGACTCCCTCTTTGCTCCTGGTCCCCTCTCTTACCCCTTTCTCTTCTCTTGCTGTCTTGCTCCCCCTCCCTCCATGACCTGGTCTATTCTGCTGGCCATGTTCAGTCTGGACTCTTCCAGATGCCTCTGGCTCTTTTCTCCCTCACAGTATAATAAAATCCTTTGCCTCAACTATGCCTTGGAGCGGTCATGTCTTCATTTTCACTCAGCGAACACATGTTTAAACAGAGTCAGCCTCCCCCAAGCCTGTCTTACTCCAGAGGCCAAGATGAACTGCCCACCATTATGCTCAGTCATTGACCTACTGGACCCAGCACATTATGTAAGCTTGAATCTGCGTTTGTGTAAAGGACCTGACGATGGCCATTGGGGCTAGGTTCTCTTTGCAAATTTGAACTCCTTGATTGCATACAGAGCAAGATGGAAACTTTGGATGAGAGTCTTTCCTGCATCACTCTTCTCTCTGCCCTGGCTTGGGAGACTGCCGGCCTGACCTGCTCACAGTCAGAGCTGCATCTCCTGTCTCGAGCTGATTGTCTACCATCTGGACCTTAAGAAAGCAGCTCTTGGAACAAAAGTAAGGAGACTAGGAGATTCACTCTATTGGGATTTTTCTTGCTAGAGGATGGAATTAAATGTTAATACATGAATATGGGTGTTGATGCTCTACTCTAGTCTAAATCTATTAGCTCAGATCCGAGAAATGGTCATTTCTAGGCTGCCCAAGTGTTTAGATGTAAATGTGATGACAACGGTAAGAAAGAAAATCGTCTTGACACACTGCACACAGTGGCAGGGGCAGTCTCTCGAAGTTGAATGGATACTTGTAAACACATGATTACAAAAGACATCTCTAATGAACTATGTACTCAAGTAAGTTTGCCTTTTGTGCACAGTGATAAAGAAAATATGAGACAACTCACTATTCCTCCAGCTGGAAGAAAAGTAAATATGTACACAAAGATGGCTCTTCAAATACCCAGGATACCACAGATTATGAAAAAGTAAAGCTTTTCCCACAACCATAGAAGTAAAATAAAATACAACAAAACAAAACAAACTTCAGAAATTAAAAACACAAAGCCCCAAACCATTGACCAGGCAGGGATTTTCAACATTAAATCATGCTATCATAAATGCTTGTCTACCCCTTAGCCTCCAGCTTTGCTTCTCCATGTTAGGCTGTGTTGTTCTGGAAGTTTCTTGTCCATTCTTTTCATACCACCTCTTCAATTCTACATTTCCAAAGTGTTCCAAAGACAGAAAGCGTGTTTTCTACTAAACAACGTGGCTTATTGTCCACCTTAGGAACCCATTATGCACAAAGAGTGGATGAAAGTTAAATTTATTCTGTGTGCAGTAGAAAAAAATTCTTTGTGTTCAATGTCTTCCAGAGAGATTTGTCAGTTACTGAAATCCTGAAAGACCTAGAACCTGAAAGAGATTTCAGAAGCCTAATATAGAAGCAGAAGAACGGCACTTTGGTGCATGCAAATGTCAATTCAATATATATGTTATTACTGGAATCTTACCAGGCTTTGCCAGTGATTCCTAAGACATTACTTTAAAGTCAGTTTTTACATAATTAGAACCATTTTTTTTCTTCCAAGTGACAGGAATATGCTAAAACTACCTTCAGCAAAACCAAAGAATTTTCGATAAGTATTCAACATTGCTTGACAGAAGTAAACATTAGGAGTAATAACTTTTGTCCCGATGAGGTTTCTAATTGGGAACTGGAAGAGCATTGACGATCTAAGACTTTTGCAGCATGTCTCATACTTGCACTTCTTTCCAGGCTTGACTTTTTATTTTGCATGGCATCAAACAGCAAGCTGTCCCTTAAG